TGTGGTTCGCGTATTTAATGAAGGTGTCTGTGTGAGTGTGCTTGTTCTAAGTCTGTGTATGTTTACGATTCTGCCCGTATATTCTGCCTGCGAGTTTTTTATGGTTCGCGTATTTAATGAAGGTGTCTGTGTGAGTGTGCTTCGTGTTCTAAATCTAAGTGCATGTTTACGATTCTGTCCGTATACTCTGCCTGCGAGTCTTTTAATTTATGATCAATAAGTGAATTCTTGAGACGCAAATGTATTTCGGATTCCTCAATTTAGTGCGCATTGTTTGATATGAGTGTGCAGTTAGCACAATAGAGGTTTTGCACCATCACGTGACGGCAGCCATCTAACCACAGGCAGCCCAAGCTGTTTTGTAGGTGTGGGCACGTGATGGTGCAAAACCTCTATTCTTTGCTATTTTTGGGATAAGAAGGGAAGCGTAACAGAGGTAATGAGAATGCTGAAGGTGAAAGGAGAAAATCTCGATTTCCTTTTATTCTTATTCCGTTTGGTTTTCTCTACAATATTGCACTCATACCTTAGCCATTGACTACGAATAGCAGCGTAGTTGTAGTAGTTGGTGGAATAGCAGCGATGAAATAAGCTTGATAATCAAAACGACATAGTAAAGTTTTAACCGTACTGTTTTATTCCGGCAGTCATGTTTAGGCGTCCTTACGGGTTGCTCATTGATTAGCGTGTTTCCGTCGAGTTTTGAGTGTATGCGGGAGGGCAGAACGCACGTTATATCGTGGCTTCATTTATAATTTCTTGAAGGAATCGTACTTTTAATATTTGTGCGACTAACAGGAATTACACTATATACATATGTACTGATGTATTATTTTTTTAACCTGTAGGATTCACCCTTGGAGCTAGACCAGAAGATCTTAATGGCGTCACGAGCGACGGTCGACCCAAACGAGTTCGAACCTCCTTTAAACACCACCAACTTCGAGCAATGAAAGCCTACTTCGCTATAAATCACAACCCCGACGCAAAAGACTTAAAACAACTCTCTCAAAAAACCGGTTTAACCAAGCGTGTTTTACAGGTTTGGTTTCAAAATGCGCGGGCAAAGTTCCGTAGAACTGTATGTAATTCACAGTCTCCGATGTCTCCTTCGTGTGAGCAGTTAACGYCTACGAGTACGATTGTGGAAACGCCCGGGGCGTAGAGACTCATGAAACCAATAGCTAGCCATATAGCGGTGTCAAATATGGACTGCAATATAAAAGTGGCCTCGAATGATTGCAATAACTGTTACTACAGTGGAATCTGCAGACAAGCATTCCTTTATATTTCAAAGAGCGCTTTACATGTTTCTGCGAGCCCCCAATTCCGGGACTCCTGGATTTCATTGGCTTCCAATCAAAACATTACGAACTCAGACCAATTGAAATTTAATGGCCAAAACGCGAGGCAAATTCCCGCGCCCTTCGTCTGGGTGGCAGAAACATGGAAAACGTTTTGAAACAGTATAAGCGAGGGTTAGGGTAAGGGTCAAAGTGACCCAAACCGCTTCAACTGTATGCAATTAAGAGCAGAATCTTGCGCAATTTATAAGCTCAAATTACCGCCATGGTGTATTCATACACTCCGTTTGGAGCGAGATTTTGATGCACAAAGCATAAACCTTGCATTTGGATGGAGTCGAACTTCAATCAATCAATACAACGGTTTTCGTATGAGTGGGAAACGATAAGGAACATTCGTAGCCGTATCGTATCTTACCGAAACCTGAAGCTGCGCGTTGTAATTGAATGAATGGTTGGAAGGCAAGATGAGGCCATTTCAGTGCTACGGCATGTCGTACCGTGTACGTACTCTAGGTCAGCAACATTTGGAGTATGTAACCGGTACATGGTGCATTTGTTGCGCACACAGTGTTTTAAGGTGTCACATGTAGCACCTTTTCCAGCATCAAAAAGCTATAAATAAAGGAATGCTACCAAATTCTGATCAGCGGTAAAGCGAAATAATATAATTATTCTGGTCAGCGGTACGCCAAAAATCAAATGTTTCTGGTCAGCGGTACACCAAAATAATAAAATTATTCTGGTCAGCGGTACACCAAAATAACTTAATTATTCGTATCTTGTCAGTGGTACACAAAAAAAACGTAAATTGATTGGCTGAAAATATTACGTGATGGCCAGCAACATTGCAGGGTATCTTCACACGATAGAGCTTGTTACGCGCAGCAATACAGGAATAAAATTCTACTCTACTTCTGCAAGGTTGTGTGCACTGACTTAAATGGTGGATGAGCGCACTGCAATTTCGTGGTACAGTGAAATAGTGCACAACAGCTGCAATGTGCTCATGGTAATGAAATTCAATTGTTTTTTCAGCTGATCGAAACCCAGCAATATCGGAACTCATTGATTCCAATCTTAGATGAGCACTTGCTGACAGCTTTTAATATGCTCTTTGCAATAAACATTTGACCGCTAAAGAAACTACACTGTTTACTGGGAAACGTAAATAAAAATTAGAACAAATTACTTTGGTTCCGTAATGGATCTTAAAAAGCGTTCTTTTAAGATCCATGGTCTGTTCGTTTGTACAATTTGCTCGAGCTGATATAGAGCTTATATAGCTGAATTGAACGACTTTAAAGCTATTTCTGTTACTTTTGTCTTCCTCCAAATTATTTCATTTCATTTCATTTCAAAATTTTCCATATAATAAGCAGATTTATCATATGACCCGTACGGCCCTGCTCGCGCGCTCTAATAAAACTATTGGAAAAAGTCACGTGATGGGGGCCGGACGGGTTGAATCCGCGCGCTTTCTTTTTTTTAATTATTTTTCTTTTCGTGAGGGTCATATGATAAAATGCTTATTGACTGAGTTAGGTCGGGCCGTACGGGAAAATATTTGGCTCTAGGTCATTTGTACGGCATCACCTCGAGCCAAATAGTTTCCCGTACGGCCCGACCTAACTCAGTCAATAAGTACATAATACATTCTCACATCTATTGCTTTGTGACAGCAACACAGTGACGAAGAATGACGTGAAACACTGGGCTTAGTGTGGAGAAAGTATAGTAAGACAATTGGTGCTAACAAAAGAAAGTGTGTAAGCAAGTCTGGTAGATAGTGTTAGGAATGACGCAATAGTTGTAGCCTATTGGTTCATTCAAAACGTTGGTGCTTCGTAGACTTTCACTGACCGCAAAGAAAGCTACCTGTGACATTTTTTAGACAAAAAAAAAATTGCGTCTAGGGTGTATGAAGATGGCATGAAGGTGAAGACGCAAACATGACGTAATCCCGCTTTCTTATTTGGTAAATACCGCTGTTTTTCTCGACAACAGACCCGTTTGTAGAGGTTTTAGCTTCGGTACAAACACTTTCATTTCATCGTACCTTATGACCACAATGCATCATGATTATCGATCTCAGAAAAGACCTATACAAAGCAAATTTTCCTTGTTTTCTAATTCCTTTTGGCCAATTCCCTGACTGACTGATTCAGCTAATGGTTCAGCTAATAATCAGAGTTATTTTGTTGATTATCAAAGCAAGATTTTTCATTTTATCTTTATATAAAATGATA